CAACCCGCTGGAGCCCCCCGGGTTCCTGCCACCCCTGCCACCTGGGTGCCAGGCCATGCTGGCAGAGCGTGTGCTCGTGTCTGGGGTGGAGTGCGGGTGGTCCTTGGGTTGGGGTGCCCGTGAGGTGTGGGGCCCTGGGAAGTCTGCCTTCTAGCCCCAGCCCCTCGCTCTCTGGGATTCCCGTCGCCTGGGTGACCTTGGAGCCAGCGACCGGGCCTCTCTGAGCCTCTTTGTTCTCATCTTACCTCGTCCTACCTGGGGAGGCTGTGGCGAGGGTGGGAGGAAATGTACCTGCGACAGCACATGGCACGTGCGCGTGCCAACCGCCAGCCATGTGGCCTGCGCCCAGGAGCCCAAGGAGGGAGGGCAGCCGTGGCTGGCACCTGTGCTGCCAAGCCAGCGGCATCTCCTGTCTGAGCGCCTGGCGCTGCCCCTCCCTGGCTGGGAGCTCACCAGAGGGGGTAGTGACATCACCACGGAGGCGGAGGGGAGGGGCAGCAGTGCCTGCAAGGGGAGGCAGCTGCTCCAGGGCCCGGGGTAGGGGTGTCCTCAGGCTGCCCAGCGAAGCCTCAGGCATTGGGCATTGTCCTGTGGCCCTCCCTGCCCAGACCTGGAGCCCAGGAGGGACGCAGAGTCGCGTCTGCCCCTTGGTGGTCGTCAGCAGAACTGCAGGCCTGGAGCTCCTGGGTCTGGGCAGGCAGGAGCATCCGTGGGATGCGGCCGGGATTGGGGCTTCTGTGCTGTCCCCACGCGGGCTCCTCCGCCACGGGTAGATGTTGCTTCCTTTTCCGGGTGTCATGAGGCTTTGATGCCATGGGTCTAGATTCGGAACATGGACCACTGGAAAGAAACAAAAAAACTGCAGGCTTGCCGAGGCCAAACCCACCGCCTGCCCCGGGCCACTGGCTCCTGTGAAGACAGCCCGCACTGGGCTGCGGCTGTGGCGAGAGGGAAGTGCCTGGCCAGAGGGTCACCTGGGCCCAGGGTTCCCAGGCGGATTTGGCCAAACCATACAATGTCCTTCTGGCCGGAGAGCTGTCATGTGACCGAGTGGGCAGGCACCCTCCTTCTGCGCCCTCTCTGCTGGGTGACTCTCGCCACCTGGGCCGCAGGCAGCACCACCGGCAGAGGCCTGTGCCACTGGGCGCTTCTTGGCCAGAGAGCTGCTTGGCACACGTGCCCTCGCCCTGCCCTGGGCTCAGAGCCGCTCCTGGATGGACCGAGAGAGGATGGGGGCAGCTTGCCGGGGATCAGATACAACTTCCTCCTCCTTGTTAGAGCCAGAGGGATGCCT